TACCATTAAAAGAAATAACATCCACATTATAGGAATCCCAGAACGGGAAGAAGGAAGTAAAGGCACAAAAAAGGTTGTGGAAGAATTACTAGAGGAAAACTTTCCAGGCATAATGAAGAATGACAGAAAATATATCCAAGAAGCTGAGTGAACACCATATAGAATAGACCCTAAAAGAAAAACACCAAGGCACATCATTGTCAAATTTGCTAGAACTAAAGACAAGTAGAGAATACTAAAAGCAACGAGAGAGAAACAAAGAGTAAACTAAAAGGGAGAACAGAGAAGATTAACGGTTGATTTATCAGCGGAAACCATGTGAGCAAGAAGAGAGTGGAATGGCATATATCGAACACTTGAACACAAATTTCAACCAAGAATACTGTATCCTGCAAAACTGTCCATCAAGTAAGAAGGAGAGATTAAAATATTCCCAGAAATACAGACCCTAAAAGAGTTCGTAAAAACAAGGCCAGCCTTACAGGAAACACTGAGAAACGTCCTTCATACAGAGATGCCACAGAAAACAGGATGGACCAAAGTAACTAGCAACAACACCAAAAAGAACTCAACACAATGACAGCAATAAAACCCTACCTCTCAATAATTACACTGAACGTGAATGGTTTAAATGCTCCACTGAAGAGAAAAAGAGTAGCAGATTGGATAAAAAAACAAAATCCATCAATATGTAGCCTACAAGAGACACATCTAAAAAATGAAGATGAAGAAAGACTAAAAATTAAAGGATGGGACAAAATATACCACGAAAATGGCAACAAAAAAAAAAAGCAGGAGTAGCAATACTCATTTCTGATAAAATAAATTTCAATGCAAAAACCATCAAAAAGGACAAAGAAGGTCACTACATAATGCTCAAAGGGTCAATAGAACAAGAAGATATAACAATATTGAATATCTATATCTATGCACCAAATGAAAGAGCTGCAAAATATATAAAACACACATTAACAAGGTTGAAAAAGGAGATAGATAATACTACTATAGTACGTGGAGACTTCAATACAACCCTTTCAAGAAAAGATAGAACTACCAAAAAGAATCTCAACAAAGATACTCAAGAATTAAACCACACAATTAACCAACTCGATCTCATAAATATTTACAGGCTAATGCACCC